CACGAGAAGAGGTGGTTCAGCAGGGGCAGGGTCATTAGTTAAGTAGTAGGGAAGGGAGAGGTTAGAAGAAGCAGCTCGACTGGAAAGGACAGGAGAGGTTAGAAGAAGCAGCTCGACTGGAAAGGACAGGAGAGGGGCGGGGCATCTTTCGCTTTCCTTTTGGGTTGCGAGTGTATGCGTCCACCACGGTCAGGGCTTTCACAGGTACCTTGTACGTAGTGTCGGTTCAGCTAGCTTTGTTTGGTCTTGCTTGATTCTAGACTAGACTGGAAATAAATAACCCTATGACTGACCTAGCTCAAATTTGATGTTGATTCGGGCGGAGCGGGATAAAAGGTTTGGTTCAGGGGAGACAAATGAGATAGATGTTCGGAATGAATAAACTGGATATGCTGCTGAGGGAAATACTGCTTCGAGAGAGGGCGGTACAGAAAGAATTGAGTGATTCTCACCTAAGACTGAAAAGCGTTACGGTTGGGCTTCTTTAGAGGGAAGCAAGCNGTTAAGTTTGTACGAAAGAAAGAGAAATTTACTGCTTAGGTTTATTCAGAGAGTTAATTAATGGGTTCCTTTGATTCCGGATCTGTGTGAGATCTTCTTTCCCAAGAGGAAAAAACTCTTTGAATAAGTTTGATTTATTCTTGGTTTAAGGCAATTAATTCTTTCTTTGACCATACATCTGGAAAGAGAGTATTTTTTGATTTATTCTTGGTTTAAGGCAATTAATTCTTTCTTTGACCATACATCTGGAAAGAGAGTATTTAGATAATAAGGTCTTAAATAGTTTGTCCTTGTATTTTCTTTATTAGATTACGAGACTAGGAGTATTTAGATAATAAGGTCTTAAATAGTTTGTCCTTGTATTTTCTTTATTAGATTACGAGACTAGACAAGTCCGCCCGGGAAGCAACCGATTTAGAAATCCAATAGTTCAGTCAAAAGCATCGGAAAGAAGTATTACATCCAATACCAGTGAAATATGCTTCTTCTAATATCTGCCTTCAAACTAGCTATTGAAAGATGGCCTGTGACTCATATGATATAAGAATGGGAAAGGTGCAAAAAATAAATAAATAAATAAATAAATAAATAAAAAGGCATTCTAAGGGGGGAGACAATGTACCACTTTTTCAATCTATAATCAACGCCTATTTTTCAGTCTTTTCAATCCCAGAATGAAATCCTTGCTAAGTAGGCTTAGATCTTAGATTTACTTAGCAGGTGATCTCCTAATGATTCTGACTGAGATTGAAGATTGATAAGATAGAGCGAGATGAGCTCATTACTATATAGCCTGACTATTTCATCACGTGAAATAGACTGCAACTGATGACAAAAGAGAAATAATCAGTTCCCAGATCTGGGCTTAGGCAGAGAAGGCTAAGTATAGAGTCTAGATATTGAATTAGGATAGAACGATCTGAGATAGAGTTGATAGAGTTGAAAGCACGAACTCGTGACGCTTTAGTAACTAATACCGGTTACTCCTCATTATAGTCATTATAGGAATAGGAGTCAAGTCTCGGGAGGTCATTCATGTATTTCTTGAAAGCACTGGATCAGTTTATTCGATCTTGGACGGACTTTCTATTTTGACTTCGTCATTTCCCAGTTCTCGCTTACCACTTATTATCTGAAGATGAAAATTGTAGAGGTGATTCCACTTTACCTGGGGCATAGTCTCTTCCTGGTCCTGATTTTGAGAAAAAAGGAGAGCTTCAAGTCCATTTTCACTTCTTTTTAACAGATATTTGGTTAGTTATTGTTGATGGTCCAATTGGGGTTTAGACTCTATATATATTTTCAATGACGGATATCCTCTTGGGATGCAAGCTAGTCAGAAAGTCAGAAATCCCGGCCTTAGGCCTAGGAGTAGAAGCTAAGACCAATCCGAGGCAATGCCAGATAAGAGATTCTCAGCCTAATTTAATCTATTCCCCCACCATCCATTGATTCAATTACTTATCGGTTAACTTCTCTATAGGCTCTTCAAGACATTGACGAATTCGTAAGACTTGAGCTCAATGCTTTGCAGTCTTGAGTATGCTTGCAAGATAGACTGAGTTCCGAAAAGAAGATTATCTCAACAAACTCCCGCATATTATTATTATTATTATTATGATCATGCCCTATACCGCGGTCTTGACTTCGGGCTTCCCCACTGAACTTTTAAAAGAAGAATTAGTGCTTTAGGATTCAATCTTAAATCAAGTTAAAAGTAAGTAGTTAACTCTTCCTAGCCTGCCTCAGGTCACTGGATTCCCTTTCGATAAGAGGGCAGAGTACAGGAAAGAAAAGAAAGAAACCTGAAAAAAAGCATAAAAAAGCATATAATTAGACAGAATGAACTTCCTACACATGTTTAATAATTTAATAAGTCTCTCAATAGTTCTTCCTTCAAAACCATATGTCGAAAAGAGTTTCACCTCATAAATCTAAGTGGCGAAAATAGCTCTTATAAAGAGAGAAGAGAGAGGCTAGCTTTTTTCTTTCTCGTTTTCACTAAATATCCCTTACATCGGAAACAAAGGATTTCAATTACATAAGTTAGATGAAGAGATTGAAAGTGGGATTGATCGATTGAGACTTTCATTTCTATATTGAGAATGCAACCAAGATCACTAATCAAGCAGTAGCATTCCGACCAGGATCAACCTGGGAGAAGTCACTAAATCTTTTTTAGCACCTGAATCTTATAAAGGACAAAAATTAGTCGTACAGCTTTCGGTGACAGATCATAAATTCAGACTGAGAACTTACTTACGACCAGAGATTGAGTTGACTTTGAGTGAGAATGAGAAAGGCCTTAGTCAGAAGTATAGGCCTTAAAGGACCTAGTTCCCAACAGGCTAGCTGGTAAAAGTAGACTGCTAATCTACATGCCTATAGGTCTACTGGCTAGTAGGTATACATCCGATAGTTCTATTTAGAGTAAGATGTCCTTCCAGATTGATCAGAGCCCAAGCATTGAGATTTGGAGAAAGAGCTTCCTCTAGGTAAATAAGTCCAAGAATTGGGACCTTCCGGCAAAATATCCCCGTAATAAAGTCTGTAGTATTTTGATACCAGGCCCTTACTGAAGCAAGTCAAGTCTTGAAGTATAAGACCAATTAAAGTCTATCCCCAGGGGAAAGTCTATTACTGAGTCAATGCCGTTGAATCAACTACATTAGCAGGAGATCTCGCTATCAAGCTTTGCTCCGGATCTACTTACGTGGGAAGTTACCGAAGAAATAACATGGAAAGCTTCCCGAAATTCGGAGTTAGATATATAGTTTGATCTCAGATCAGAGACAGTGGGGAAATAGTTCAACTCTAGTCCCTGACGAGGGCGTAGACCCGTAAATGCATATATTCTGGGGGATTAATCTTTCTATTTTTACACCGCATATGAAATTCCTAAACCCGGAGTTTGATTGTTCTAGTTAATTGGCTGAGCTGATTGATATCGTGTTAGACGAAGTGCTGTTATTGAGGCAAGAGCTCTTCTTTCGTTCATGACCAATATGCTCAAAAGGCCCTATGATTCAATTACTACTCCCTCTAGAGACTGAAATCCTCGAAGAAATTTCAAAGGAGAAAAAGCCTCGGGCGGCCCTCATCCCTTCCTGGAGTTCATTCTAGCGCAGTCTTTCTTATCTCATTCCCTTCGCCAGTAATGTAATGGCATTCGTGTGCCAAAGTTGCTTCAGAGCTTGTTGAGGATAAAGTGAGAATCTGATATGATAAGGAATCAATACAAGGAGAATAAGATTCAGATTACCTTGTTGATCGAATATCTCAAGGCAAGAACATTGTTTGAGATTTGAATCACTCCACAAGCAAGATCGATCATGTCTAACTTGAATGATTCTTGTTGATCAAATATCTCAACGCAAGAACACTTGATTGAGATGCCAATCACTCCACAAGCAAGATTGATCATGTCGAGCTTGAATGATTCTACATGCAATCTAAACTACATAGAATTGCAAAGAAACTTAGTCATTGGCTAAAAAAAAGCACAAATGCTTCTTTTAATATATTTTCCAAGTCCCCTTACAAATCCAACATACATGGCTTTATATTCAAAATGAAACTATTAAAATCATTCCAAAAGTTGTAACATTCATACTTAATGAACATAATTAGCCATGTTGTAAATGTAACCTAAAGTAAATAAAATGTCTTAAAATACAATAACTCTAAATTACTCTAAATTGTAACCCACCCAAAATTTATAACAATCAAACTTCATTCTTCTTCAATGTGGCATGAATTGAAACATCTTTTGATAATCTTGACAACCTTTTCTTCACATCTTCATTGAAGTTTGATGGTTATAAATTATTGGTGGGTTACATTGGTTATCCTGATGATTTTTTTTGTGCGCTTGTCAATCAAAATTAATGGATAATGCATGTTGCTTAATGTATGAATATGAATTGTCAAGTATTGATATTTTGATTGACTATCGTGTGTGGTTTTATATACTTGTCAGTCATGAAGTAGTGTAGAATACACGTAAGGAGAAAAAAAAATTATGAGGTAATTAATTGTGGATTAGGAACGAAACAAGCGAAAGGATGTCTGGCCAAGTAACAAATTGGGGAGGTAAACGTGCTCGAAGTGGGTCGGCGAGTGTACAAGAGAACCCGTCTTTGGGTTTCCCACTTCAAGAGCAGTCAATGAATGCGAACCCAAATCCGGGGATAGGACTTCCCCCATCTAGTCTACCGAGAGCAAACATTGATACTACGGAACTACCTAATATGACTATGATGATGGGACTGATGCAATCTATGGCACAGACAAATGGGCAATTGGCCCAACTGATCTCGACCTTAGCGCCAAGTGCTAGGCAGACGACCCATCACAACCCGTGAGACATTGATGCATCAAAAGAAAGAAAGTATTTTCAGGCTTTCAAACGTCGAGACCCCGAAGTATTCGAGGGAAAATCCAAGGACCCTATCGTAGCTGAATTATGGTTGTCGGCTATTGATGAAATTTTTCGACGCATGAAGTGTCCGGAGGAACATAGACTGAGTTGCGTGACTTATTTGTTACGCGAAGATGCTAAACTGTGGTGGCAATCAACCTCTCGGGCGATTGCTGCAGACGAGGACGAAATCACCTGGACACAGTTTAGAAAAGCGTTTCTTCGAAAATGCTTCAAATCAGTGGTGCGATATAAGAAGCAATGCGAATTCCTAAGCATAGAGCAGGGAAACAGGTCAGTAGAGGAGTATGAGCGAGAGTTCACCCGTCTGTCCCGTTTCGCCCCATTAATGGTCTCAATGGAAGAGCTGAAAGTAGAGTGTTTTGTTATGGGTTTGCGGCCTGATATACGAGGGGTGGTGTTAACTCACGATCCACCTGACTATGCAACGGCACTCCAACTGGCCGAGACGCTCGATGTTAAGGAATATCCAACAGAAGACACCCAAACCCACCCAAACACATCGGTTGACCAGAAGAGAAAGAGAGAGCAGACGTCACCTACCTTCTCAAAGGTGTCTGGGCACCAGGCTAAGACAAATTTAAACCAAGAGTGCAGACAAACAAAGGCTTGCCCACAGAACACGCCACGTAACAGACCGCGTTGCTCGAATTGTGGGAGACATCACCCAAGACAGTGTCAGTTTAAGAACAGGGTATGTTTCAACTATCACCAAGAAGGCCACGTTGTCGCGCACTGCACCCAAGGGAGAGCAGCTAGTACCAATAGACCCCCTGGTAACCAACTGTCCTCAAACCTGAGGCCAGCTCCGCAACAAGGGCGAATGTATGCTACCACTCGTCAAGAGGCAGAAAACTCCAACACTGCAGTCACAAGTACGCTCTCTATTCTTGGGTATTACGCACGGGTCTTATTTGATTCAGGGTCAACCCACTCTTTTATCTCCACTAATCTTGTAAAACACGCAAGAGTAGAAGTTGAACCACTAGGGTACAGGTTGTCTGTGGGTACCCCAGCAGGGGTAAGTATGGAAGCCTTCGAGAGGGTAAAGGACTGTCAATTGTGTGTGTCAAACCACACGATGGATGTGACACTAATAGCCCTAGATATGGCCAATTTTGACGTCATCTTAGGGATGGAATGGTTAGCTAAAAACCATGCATCCATCGATTGCTTCAACAAGGAGGTGGTGTTCAGACCTCCTGGTCAACCAAGCTTCAAGTTCAAGGGGACTAGGAAGGGAACGATCTCGAGGATAGTCTCGGCATTAAAGCCAAGGAAGATGTTATCTCAGGGTGCTTGGGGGATATTAGCTCATGTGGTGGAATTAGGGTGAACTGAGGCGAGCATTAACTTAGTGCCAGTAGTGAGAGAATTCGTGGACGTGTTCTCAGAAGATCTCCCGGGCCTACCCCCAGAGTGTGAGATGGAATTCGAAATTGTACTTGAGCTAGGAACAACCCCTATATCAAGAGCCTCGTACAGAATGGCCCCTGCTGAACTGAAAGAACTAAAGTTGCAACTTCAAGAGCTACTAAGCAAAGGCTTTATACGACCAAGTGTGTCTCCTTGGGGAGCCCTAGGGATATTTGTGAAGAAGAAGGACGGCTCTATGCGCTTATGCATGGACTATCGGGAACTTAACAAAGTGACAATTAAAAACAAGTATCGTTTGCCCCGAATCGACGACCTGTTCGACTAGTTGCAAGGAGCAGTTGTGTTCTCAAAGATTGATTTACGATCAGGCTACCATCAGTTAAGGATTAAGGAGAGTGGTATCTCAAAGATAGCCTTTCGCACAAGGTATGGACATTACGAGTTTAGGGTAATGTCGTTTGGCTTGACCAACGCTCCAGCAACATTTATGGGGTTGATGAACAAAGTGTTCAGAGAGTTTTTAGACAACTTCGTGATTGTCTTCATCGATGATATCCTTGTGTATTCCAAGACTAGGGAACAACACGAGGAACATCTCCGGAAAGTGCTGACCACTCTAAGAACGAACAAGTTGTTTGCAAAGTTCTCCAAGTGTGAATTATGGGCAGAACAGGTGGGATTTCTTGGGCATGTAGTTTCAAGCATGGGAATCACCGTAGACCCAACAAAGATTGAAGCGGTGACGAATTGGCCTCACCCAACCACAGTGACGGAAGTACGAAGTTTCTTTGGACTAGCAGGGTATTATCGGCGGTTTGTACAGGATTTCGCCAAGATCGCCACTCCCCTCACTCAGTTGACCAAGAAAGGAAAGTCGTTCACCTAGAATGATCAGTGTGAGGTTAGTTTCAAAGAACTCAAACAGAGGTTAGTATCTGCCCCGATACTCACTGTACCGTCAGGAGATGGAGGCTTTGTAGTGTACAGCGATGCTTCAAAAAGGGGGTTAGGATATGTCCTCATGCAACGTGGGAAGGTTATTGCCTATGCTTCATGTCAACTAAAAGAATACGAGCGAAACTATCCCACCCACGACTTAGAACTCGCAGCAGTGGTATTTGCATTGAAGATTTGGAGACACTACCTTTATGGAGAAAGGACCCAAATTTTCACTGACCACAAGAGTCTTAAATACTTCTTTACTCAGAAGGAGTTGAACATGAGACAACGTAGGTGGTTGGAGTCTGCCGTCTCCACGACTTTCCCTTTTGTGTGCTGCTCTTCAAGCCTTCGAGTGCCGATCTTCGCTTGGGCCGACTCCGAGGCTCTACCCTGGCTTTTCATTGGTTCCTTCCAACCTGCTCTTTTTTCTCATATCGCGCGCACATCTTCAAGAGAGAGGCCGAGTACATGATGAGGCGATCCCGGGAAAGCCCATTCCCTCATGGGAACTCCTTTACATCGGTTGAAGAAAAAAGGTTCAATCTTGTTCAACCATAGCGTAGACGAAACCTGGCAGCCCGCCCAGAGTTTGACCTTCTCCGGTCCTGGAAGGAAAACCCACTGAACTTTTCTTCCCCTAGCGGGCAACAACACAGGGAGGAAGACGATCAGGATCTCACGTGTGGCAGCTGTTAGAACTAACTCAAAATCCAAGAGGTTACCTAAAAAAAAAGAAAACTCACCACTCACTGGTGAAAGAGGAGAAAAGAAAAGACAATTTCAGGCCCTGGGGTCGGAATGTGGTAGGGTCCTTCAAGCCCCACCCTAGATTCTCAAGATTCATGGGCCGTCTCCCGAAGATCTTCGATCTGAACCTTCGCATCGACTTTCTCTTAGAGTCTCAACCACGCCTTCGTTATCGAAAGAATATAGCATAGCGATCGAATAGCTATCGCTACTTCCCGTATTATGAAAGCTGTATTCCCCGAAGGAAGGGGAAGGAAGAGGGCATGCTGCAAGAGCAGAGGTGAGTGGTAAGCCTAGGAGGCGTGCCCAAAGGGCAGCGGCAGCTCTATGGTTACACGTTGCCACATTGAGATAGGGGGACGGGGACTTCGACTGCCTTGTATCAAGTCAAGATAAGGGAAGGGGTGGTAGGCTTAGTAGGGCTCGAACCTACAATATCTTTATGAGCGGTACATTTCAACCAATTAAACTATAAGCTCCTACGGATGGATCTCTACATGCAATTCGCTCACTTTGGGAAGAGCAGACGGAAAGAGGAGGCCTTTGCTTTATTTGCTTCTTCCTATGATGGAAAACTAAATGATTTGCTTGATAATAATAGATATAGAATCTTAGATAGATATTATGAATTACAATAAGATCATTAAGCAAGCGGCCCTTTCGCGACTCAAACTGCCAGTACGCTTTCTGGCTCGGAACGACCAACTCAAACAAACGGGCGGGGGCTCTCCATTTTCTTGTAATGCCGGATGTTCGCCTTTAGTTAGAAGTAGAAGTAGATAGAGGGCATCCTTTGCCCCACACCGAAGAAAAAGTACATAAGGGGGGGACTGACTTGTGAAAGTCAGGAGTGAGAAAGAGAAAGAAAAACTTGGTTACAGGAACCGAAGGTTAGGCCGATTTGAAGCTAGACCTAAAAAAGTTGATTCCTACCTCTTCCTGGCAATGTTGCCAATTCCAAAAAGACTCATCTAATAAAGACTCATCTAATAATGTACCCTTGTGCATAAAGTTGCCCAACTACTCTTTCTTCCTTCGACTCATTTAGCCACTTACGAGTCCGTTGTATGAAAGAGAGCTTGCTTCGTGGCGGAGCATTTAGCAATGCCAGCAGCCTGGTGAGTGAGGGCTGGCTGTATGGGGACAGGTTAAGGCAGGGACCTCTAGGCTTGCTTCTCATGAAATTGGGTGAGGATTGAATATGCAAGACTAGAAAGAAGAGGAGGGAATCAGAGAATATGCGAGACTCAAAAGAAGAGGCAATCGGAAAGGGGCAAAGCTGTGAGACCGAGTGAAATCAAACACCTATTGTATTTACCGAGTCAAAGATTGAACAGAGTGAAAGAAGGAGAAAATCAAGAATTAATAAGAAGGAAGGAAGGAAGGAGTAGAGTATTAATCTTTTACAGTGAAAGAATAAGAAGGGAATACAGGGGAAGGGAAGGGAATAGTTCAATGGCCTAAAAAATAGGGAGAGGCGAAAAGATCAGTGAAAGCAAGAAGGTGTAGGTGAAGGAGAGAAGAGAAGCAGAGGTGAAGGAAAGAGCTACTTTGACCTCCATAAGGCAAGCAAAGGAATAGAGTCAAAGTATAAGGTGAAGGAGAATGAAAATAGCTTTACCGAGGGAAAGAGTGAAAGAGAAGTGAAATAAGGAGAAGAAATTCAGGGAGATTCAAGGAGAAAGTGAAAACGGGACACTACAGAATGATTGTCTACTTTCCCGGTAAAATGGTCCATAACCAGAAGAAATTCAGGAGTTAGTTACAGTCGAGTTATGAAGTAATAAGGAAAGAGAGAAAACCTTCCCCTTTGCTTCTTTCTATTCCCTTACCTGATTGAGCTGTAAACAAATTCAAGGATGTTCGCTTCTCTCCTCTTCGAGTCTTGTTGCTGCGCTCCTTGTTTCGTTCTTGTCCCTATTTATTCAGGAATAGTAAACTCCAACTCCCTACTTTCACTTCCTACTCCCTCTACAACTATTAGTCTCACAACTTCGCTCCTTTCTTTACCTGCATTGGACTGATTGAACTAGGCTTCACTCCTTAGGTGCCAGACTCAAGGAAAGAGGAAAGAAAGTTCAGAATCAACCTCCTTCTCCTACTGATTGAACAAGGAAGGTAAACTGGAGGATCAGAGGGTCAAGCGACTGAACTGATATGACCTGAGCAGCTACTTCACCGGAACCTTATTCATCAAGTGTTTCAAGGAAAACGAAAGCAAGAGAAGAGGTAAAGCTAACCTTTCTTTACAGTTAAAGAAGAAATGAAGGAGTTAGCTGCTTTGAAAGACTCCTTATTCATTCTCGTTTATAGTTAGGGCTGAAGAAGAAGAAGAACCCAAAACCCTGTCCCTTCTTTCTCTCCTCTTCTCGTCTCGCTGCTTCACACCTTTCCTCTTCATTCTCTTTTTTGTGTAAGGACCCTTTATTTACAAATGATACTTTCCCGTGAAAATGGGCCATTGAACTTTTTAGCTCTTTCAATAGGTTCAATGAATTCCTTTTTATGACTCTCCCTATTTTGGGGGTGATTTTCCAGGTAAAAGAGTGAATTTGCCCTTGTTCAAGACTGAAGGGAGACTCAAGAAGCGTTATCCGGAACAGTGAAAGGGAAAAGAAAATGAAACTTGACAGTCGTAAAGCATAAACTCTAATTAATTTAAGCTGCTTCAAGAGCTAAAAATCTCTTACGAAACTTTACAGTCGTAAAGCATAAAGTAAATAATAAAAGGTCCTTACAGTCGAATGAATAAGGTAAATAGGTGGTAAAGGAGGATCCGGAGAATGCATCTTTTGTCTTTCATCTCCACTCTCCCTGAATTTCTTCTTTAACTGCTAACTCCTTCCTATTCCGGATAATGCTTCTAGAACAGTCAAGGATAAATCATCTTTCTTGCTTTCGTCTCCCTTCTTTCTTGCTTGCTCAGGCTCATCTTTCTTTGATCTTCTCCTTCTTTCACTCAAACACAAGGTAAAGCGACTGGACCTAAACCTGAACCTTTAATAAGACTGAACAGTCAGGAAAGACGAAACGAAAGATTCAACCTCAAACCGTCACTTATTTATTCAAACACTCTTTTACTTGACAGTAAAGAAGAAAGATTCCTTCTCCTGCCTTAACCTATTGATTGATTCTTGATCCTATTTCTTCTTGAACAATAAACTAAGACTTAACGAAAGACTCCTGAACCTATTTCTTCTTTGACTATTTTACGGTCTCATGCTTCGCTCCTCCTCCTCCTCCCTTTTCTTTCTTCTTTTTCGAGTGAAT